CACTCAAATGTTACCAAATATGGTATGGGACAAACTTAGTGGGACGGACGAAAAAGGTAAAACGGGACAAACTTAAGGGGACGGAGGGAGTACAAATTAAAAAACGTGTAGAAATAGATTTTTCCTATATTCACACCCCCTCCCTCAGTCCTTACTAGTTAGTAGTTACGGAGTACTAAGTATATATACTTGTAACTATCATCACTCGTAATAATTAGTAATGGAGTTATGAAGGTAACGTAATTATTAATTGCATTTATATATTGGTTTTGCTTCCCTTTAACTATTGTACGTACGGACACTTTTGCATTCCCCAACATGTAGTTTAATTAATTAAATTTAGTGAAACTTTATAATACGGATATATGAGTAACATCATTTACCACTTCTCATTCATTATATGGTAAATTTTGTGGTACGGTACAATTTCCATCCATTATAATTAATACTCTAATTATATAGTTTAAACACAATAATTAGGTACGGTAACCTCATTTTAATTTTTAGTGTGGCATGGTAGATGTCTTGTTGTCTGAGGGGTAAAGTGATCGATACAATGGGGTCGTTGCTTTTCAGCGATTTATCTCCTTCAAACACTACAATTAGAAGTGTTTCATGTGCAAAAAGAATGGCGTTTTGGATAAAACAGTGATATCCAAACGCAAGATAGTGTGCGTCAGTGCGTGCTTATAAGCAGGACCTTGATCATGTACTTGTGGTTGCGTTTTAAGGCCGTAAGACCCTTAAATATCAAAACAGACAATATCTACAAGCTGTTTTTAACAAAAACACGTTATTAAGACAATGTTTGCGATGAGAGGGTGTTTTGTGAACATGAAGTTTTCACGTCGCTCGCACATGAGATAGTGTGTGCTTATAAGTAGGGCATGAAGCCTTTACTTGTGGACTCGTTTTAAAGCAGTGAGTTTCTAAAGTACCAAAACAGACAATATCTTCAAGCTATTTATAACACTAAAGAGATTTTTAATTATTTTTTATTTTTTATACTACAACAGAATAAGTCATATTTTAAATAAAAATAATTTGTGTGTGTTGTAGTACTCCTTTTGATCAATTTCCTATGTTTTGTCACTGACAATGAATTAATGTTCAAAGGAGTTTGGGAAAGAAGAAGAAGATGGGAAGGTGAGGGAAGTTGTAAAGTTGCTGGAGAAGCAAATGAAGGAGATAAGAGACTGTCCTGACATAGAGATGGAAGACACAACTAAAAAGCTTAGGCAGGCTTGTTTCAAGGTTAACTACAAAATGAAGAGGAAGCTCATGATTGGCGGCGGCGGCAACACCATGCTCCAACAGCCACAAATGTGGTCGCCGCCGTTGTCTTCAGCTTCCGGCAGCGGTGTGAACTTTGCCGGCGGTGCCCCAGTTGGTGGTGATTATTATTTTGAGGCAGACCCTGAAATTAATTCTATGTTATATTGCTTCTCGTCCTCTTCTTCCTCTTCCCCCTAAAATGGGTTCACGTTTAATTTCCTTTTTCGCATTTGGACTTGCATTTTTTTTGAAAGATTTGGACTTTTACATTTACATTTAGACATATTTTTCAATCGTATACGTTAAATTACATACAAATTAAATTAACGCATTACCATAATGATATGTTAATTAAATTGAGAACAATTCCTATATATTTGCCTCTTCAATTTTTGCTATCAATATATTATACAAACAATTCAATTAATTAACATGCATTCGGACTTTCAGAAATATCTTCACATCTTGAATTTTTATTACCACAAAAACAGTTTAGACCAAATGTCCAAATGTACCTCAATTTTAATGCCTTCACTGATTTATTTTTAGATTCACTTGAGCTTTATATGAAAACAATTTAACCAGTCTCTATGGTATTTTTTTTTAGTTTGTTTGATGTTTTGCTAAACACAAATTTTAAAGTAAAAATAGCTTTCTTATAGATTTACTAACATATATTCCCTTATATGAACTTTTTATAAATTTTAGGACCAATCCAAAGAGCTACAAATTTCATAACTAAGCTAAATGTCTTAAACTAACCCGACCGGCCGGTTTCTTGAGGATTCTCTTTGCAACTTCACCAATTGTACCATCTCTCGGGGCTCGGGATTTGTGCTTCACAAATTTCACGTACTAAATTACAAATATATATATATATATATATATACGAAGTATATATTAAAATTTTGGAATAAATACACCTAGTAAAAAAAATTGAGAGGTCCATTTCTGCCACATATCACAAGAAACACCCATTTGAACCAACAATAAATTAAGTCCCTTAAGAACTAGGTCCCACGTATGATTATGCCTAATTTACTTCCGTTTAATTGGGTCTAACTAGTTTATTTAAGCTTAATTTGATAAGATTGATGAGTTTAAGTGAAGATGGACCCGTGCAATGGAGACGTCCTCGACGCATCATCTTAGTCAGTATGAATTGCGTAGGATTTGTAAAACCAATACTAGTAATTAATACGTACTCCGTAATTCCTTAACTTTAAGAGTGTCTGAATTGCCAGTTCGCCACTAAACACGGCTTTTAGAAAAGAAAAGAATCTAATGCACTACTAACATGTCGTAAATCAATATTACTAATTCATATATTAATGTTATACAGAGTAATTAATACTCCCTTCGTCCCAAATTATTTTGCAAAGTCAACATTTTTGGTCAACTAATAATAAAAGTCAATGCTCTGTATCGATAATTAATTTAATTTTTAATAATTAAAATTTATATATTCAGAAACTGCATTAAAATCTCTTCAAAGTTGTAAACTTCAAATTAGAATATAATTAAAAATTGACATCCTAATTAAGCGAATAAAATGAAACTGTTTGACCAAGAAAAGTCAAATTTGCAAATCAATTTGGGACGGAGGTAGTATTTAATACTCGATAGTCGGTTTAGGGTATGTTTGGTACAACAACCAGCTGAAAAGATACTTTTGTGAGCTTTTTTGTAACTGTTAGCTTTTATTGACTGAAAAGATCTTTAAAAAGGTAATAGCTTTTTGGTAAAAAAAGCTTACTGTTTGATTTAGTTCTGTTTGGTATACAAGCTGTTTAGATTAATTAATGCTAACAGTCACACACTTTTCTCAGATGTTATTCCATGTAGCATCTCAAAAAGATCTTTTATTTTTTAAAAAACTCTTAAATATTGTCATATCAAACATACAACTAGAAACTTTTAGAAACTTTTTAAATAGTAGAAAAGCTAGAAGGCACCGACTTTTGGCTGACAAACTTTTTGTCAGATACTACTACGAATACTATCACAGAGTGTATATTGCGTGGTAATATGTTAATTGTAACATTTTTTTTAAATCGAAGTGATTCTATGTTTTCTTTAGCTAATGTTAATTTTTAATGAATGTTAGAAAATTACTAGTATTATTTTTCAACTGCCCTCGTTCTCTTTCTTCATTGTAAAGAGAAACTAAAGCGATAATTTAACTACATGTTTTCGTGCATAACATGACCCTATAGGAAAAGTTTTACTTTAACTTTTCTTTTTTGCTTTTGACTTCTCAATCAACTAATCAACTAATAATTACTGAACGATATAATTAAAGGAAGTTAAATTGTTACGAAATAGGCTATTATTCTTAGGGGCTTAGGGCTACCTAGCGTCTTAATTGAGACTCCACCATTGTTTCGAAAGAAGCTTCTTCCTCCATTTTCTTTACATTTTCATTTTTCATTTTATCTCTATATGTATTTTCTCTTTCTTACTTGCCAATCAACTTGCATGACACTCATTCGTGATTTTGTCATAAAATCATGAAAAGGAGGGAAATATTTAGAATTAGATGCATATTTGGTGATTAATAACGCTTATAATAACTACTAAGGATGTTTTTACTGTAATTTGCTGGTATGGTCTGGTCTGGTCTGGTCTGGTAAGGTCTAGTTTCTTTGTATTTTTATAACTTTCCAAGTCTGGTCTGGTCTGAACTGGTCTGGTCTGGGGCAAATTACAGTCCAAGTAAAAACATCCTAAATAGGTGCTAAGGAGAAAATGGTAAAATTAAAATAATAATATAAATAGTGGGTGTTTCTATAGTAACCATCAAAATAGAAGACTTTTATCACATTGTTAATTAAGATCTGATCCTTGATTGATCGTATATACCAATTGATTAAAGATGGGGAAAACTATCAAATAAGTCCCGTACTATACCGAAAAAGTCGATTAGGTCCTCGTACTTTACAAACACTCAATTAAGTCCTCGAACTATTAAAAAACGTTCAATTAAGCCCTTTCGGTCGGTAAGTAACCGGTTTCCTAGTTAAATGTAACCCGTTTTCCGGCAGCCACCGTTGCTGAGGTTCGAGCACATCGTCATCGTCGTCGCCGTTTAACCGGGAAACCGGTTACTTACCGACCAAAAGGGCTTAATTGAACGGTTTTTAATAGTTCGCGGACTTAATTGAGTGTTTGTAAAGTACGAGGGCCTAATCGACTTTTTCCATAGTACGAGGGCTTATTTGATAGTTTTCCCTTAAAGATATGATGATAATGATGATTATAAGATGCCAATATACCATTAAATCTTCCGCTGTGCTATAATGTTAATCCTTACCCTTTATCTAACTTTTCATTCTTAGTTTATTTGCCTACCGCTTCTACATATGTGAAATATTATACCCTATTTAAAAATAAAGAAACTAAAAAGATTATACATATAGTACTCCATATGCATATGCCCCTCTGTCCAAATTATTTTTTTGTATTTTCTTTTCGAATGTTGTTTTACTTATTTTAATCCAAATCTCAACTACATTTAAATAACAATTATTAAGTCAATCAGAAATTTGTTGCAAACAAATTAACCACTCCTCTACAGGGCTCCACTTTAAATGTAAACATGCTCCATGATATTGCCCCTAAAAGGCTAAACTGCTTTTTAGAAAAGTATCATCTTTCGTTTCTCCCACTTCTTTTATGCCATGTATTTCAAACATACCAATAATTACTGTACAAAGTAGTAAAAAGGAGTAGAAATGAAGTCCTGGGAACATACGGAGTACTTTCTGCATCCTCAGTAGTTTAAATAGTAGTTTTCTGGTTTCTAATCTCTAACTCAACAAAAAAAAAATCATCCTTGTTACTATCATTAATGGAGAATTTGAGATCTAAATCAACAAGAGAAGGAGGCAACTGGCGGCAGCCTAGTGGTTTCCCCCCAACAAGCAGCAGGAATGATTTCAGAAGTTACAGCACTTCATCTTATGCTGCTAATAACAACAACGAGAATGAGGAAGTGAAAAGGAAGACAGCGAAGAGAAGCAAGAGCAAAGTCGTCGTATCACCGTTATCGTCTCAGAGCTTTCGTGAAGCAGAAGAGCAGAGGAAAAAGAGAGTTGAGAGTTACCGGGCTTTCGCTAAGGACGGGAAGGTGAAGGGCTCTTTCAGGTGGATCAAAGCTCATTTGTTCTCTGCCTGCAGGTGTTAGTGGTGTACTCCTCCACTACATGAGTGTAATATATTCTATATAAAGAATAGAATCTCTGATCTAAATAATTCATCTATATATCCTCATCTCTTCCTCTATAAAGAATAGAATCTCTGATCTTAATAATCCATCTATAAATCCTCATCTCTTCCTCTGTATTACTATATATTACTCCCCTCCTCTTTCTCTGAAATGTCGTAGGGGCAGATGCCTCCATTTTTTAAAGAAGGTATATAACTCTACGAGAGGAATACTAATAGAATTGTGCATTTTGCTAAAGTTTATAAGTCATGTGCATTTTATAGATTTCAAGAATAGAGAATATATATGGTCTTGGAAAGCTGTAAGTTCCTATGTAATGAGGATTTAAAGAGTTTCCCCTGCATCTATAAATAAAGCTCTTGACACATTATGTAAAACAAGCCAAAGCATATGAACTACTACAAATCTAGACTATACTGGAGAGAAGTGATGTATACAAACCTTGAAGTTAGAAATGTGATATAGAAATTTCCAACTTGGATAATGAAAACTTGAACTAATGTTTCTTGCTAAGTGACTTCTTGTGTATTGGCCAGTTTTGATAGATTCGATACACAAGTATAAGGATGTTTTTACTTGGACTGTAATTTGTCCCAGACCAGACCAGACCAGACCAGTCCAGACCAGACCAGACCAGTTCAGACCAGACCAGACCAGACCAGACTTGGATAGTTATAAAAATACAAAGAAACCAGACCTTACCAGACCAGACCAGACCAGTTCAGACCAGACCAGATCAGACTAGACCAGACCAGCAAATTACAGTCCAAGTAAAAACATCCTAAATATTACTGTAAAGAATCTCATCTCGAACAAAATGGTAATCCATGTTACCAATATGCTTTGTAAGTTCACAAAAACCCCGATTAGACAAAATATGAAGTGTTGTTGACTTGTTGTACTACCAAAACAAACTTGCATTGGTCCAGAGTGAAAAAGATCAAGGCTAGACAACTAGCATTTGAGTCGGTGGACACATAAGTGATTGCTGACATGTTACTCCGCATCAACCAATGAGCGAGCTACTGTGTATTGCTTCTTTTTTCTAATTTGTAAAATGAGAGATGATCAAAGCTATACTAAATAACTAACCAATCAATTGGAGACTTGCAAGTCAAAATCACGAGCAAGAGCAGCACAAACCAGTGCTAGATTTTCAAATCATGTGCAAGAAGAGGTCGATAACTCTATTTTGAGATTGGATTTCCAAACAGTGTAGTCAAGTGCTTGGTTGTATCATTGTATGAATTCATCCTACAGACTGTTTATATAATGGTGTCGCAAGATGATTGTTAGTCACGAGTGAGAGCTGCACAAACCTTAGGTAGATTGTCATGTTTATGCATGAGCAAACAGCTTAGGATAGATACATCTCTTCTGCAAGACTGCAACTAGACTTTGGAGATGTATCATAAGAGTTGTTCAAAAAACTGTAGCTTATCACAAAGTATACCCTTTTTCTTTGATATTTTAGTCTGTAGTCTGCACAATGTGTCTTGGTCTCTCAAGGCAAGCCCCTCCCTTATCTTCCAAAAATTTGTAAATTTATAGTTTTATAGGATGAACACCTAGATATGTAAAATTTAACAAATTTGTTTATTACATTGCTATTCTGTTTTAATTATTGGACTGTTTTATTTAAAAAGAGACAATGATGTCCTTTCTCCCTACTCCTAGCATAGTCAGAGCTAATAACACACAAAACGTCATACATGAACACAGATTCACTGCCATGATCAAACCCAACACATACACCAGAAATGCTACATCTTTTTTCAGTCAGCTACCAGAAATAATGTATGTAAATACAACAAGAATTGGTTCTAAAGAAGACTCAGAGTTGGCTATACACAATTCTATGAGAATATTGCATGCTCTCAAGTCTCAACTATCTGTGGCCATGCCTAACATACCTGCAATGAGGAATAGGGGTCTCCACAATATGCCAATCCAAGAAACCACAAAGGATCTAACAAAGCAGTTGGGTTTGTTCAACGGTACAATGCAGTATATAGCGAAATAATCAAGACAACTAATACATCTACACAACTGGTTAGTTGTTGAGAACAAAAGTACTTTCATCTAAAACACAATTAAAATAAATAAGAAGAAAAACGTCAAAAAGGGTTCAATATCTCACTTCTTGTAAGGATGAAACCTCCCTCCTCCAGCGCCACTGTTTCCATATCCCCCTCCCCTGCCACTTCCAAAACTGCCATCACCACCACTGCCATATCCCTTACCACTACCACTAGCATACCCACTGGAGCCAGCATAATTACCAGAAGTCCCATAGGGGTTCCCTCCATATCCCATAGCACCATACATAGCCCCACCAAATCCAAACCCATACCCATATCCTCCATATGCACCATACATTCCTGCAGAGTTCATTCCATAATTCCCCACATAGTTGCCATAAGCACCATAGCCTCCATACCCACCGTAAGCATTTCCCATTTTTCCACCATACCCTATGCCATATTCCTCTGCGACATTGTTAAAATTGCCATACGATTTTGAACTATTCCCACCACGACGCGTTCTACTCTCACTTGGATGATTACCACCAGCTCCTTTAGGCTCGGCCCTCTTAATTTCAACCTGAGATACAATGTATGAAAGGGTTTTTTCATTCTTTCCTTTTCCGGAAAAAGACAAACAGATATATGGAACTAATAATATGAAGTTACAATTTCTCTCTCAATTGTCACTGAGGTTGAGAAAATTCTGGCAAACTAAAATTAAAAAAAAACTATTACTCACTTGTTTTCCACTAATTTCATGCATGTGCCCATCAGATAGAGCCTTTTCAACAGCACCTTCATTATCAAACGTTATGAAACCAAAGCCTCTGGGCCGACCAGTATTGTGATCAACCATAATTTGACACTCAATAATATTGCCATATGATGAAAAATATTCCTTTAATCCATCTGAAATAACTTATGTTGGTTAATTTATATACGGTATGACCATAACTAACATCAAGACAAAAAATAGATACAGACATGCAGCCTTTACCTTCATTTAAAGAGAGCGGAATACCACCAATAAATATTTTCTTTGTTTTAGAGCCTCCTCTAAGTGGCATGTCCTCCCTAGGTACCGTTCTCTTTACTTCCACCTACTCACAAATAAAGAAGTAAAAAAACTCTGAGAAGATGGAAATCTATCAACGAGGGTAGGCTATATGTTAGTTTTATCAAAAGTTGAAGCCTACCACTCGACCATCTATTACATGTTCTTCTTTTAGAACCCTATTTGCAACCTCTGCGTCAACAAATGTAACAAATCCAAAACCTCGCGGTCTTCCCGATAACTTATCCATCATTATTATAGAATCAACTAGTTCTCCATACTTGCTAAAGTACCTGCTAAAAGTTTCTGGAAGCCACCAAATACAATGAGACTGGGAAAGAAATTTATTTTATGTGGTGGATAAACTGACATAAAAAGCACTCTGAGCAAGATATTGTGACAAATGTATGAAAACAATCTCAGATCAGTGCAAATATAATAATGAATATATCACACCCTCAATCTACTGATTTGATTTATTCCTTTACCTCTTATAGGAACCTAAAAGTCAATTTCTTTATTGTTCTTTTCGTTATCTTGCTTGATTTAAGTTTAGATGCAGATGAAAATTGCTGGGTATCCTGGGTTTATTCCATATCTCAAACAATTTCAATTGACATGAGTGTTATCTAGATAAATTTTACATCTGCAACAGTATCACTGAGTACCAGTAGCGCTACTTGCAAATACATTTAAAAAACTGACCTACTCACAAATAGAGAAGTGTACCTGCGTGACCAAAATAAATGTACCCCAGTTATAATATAATTATATAATCAATGTTTTAAACTGAGTTTAAGCTTTGAGGCATTATGCAACTGTGAGGTGAGGTGCAAGTGCGTAAGCCTAACTGCATGTCTCAAGGCAATTTGAAGCTTAAGCCTCACTTTATATAGATCTTCTTTCACAAATCAAAGTAACAAACGAAATAAAGTTTTACCGAACATCAAAACCTACATAGGAAACAAGTCATTATAAGTGTCAGAAGACACTAGTGTAGTTTTAACTCTTCCATTTCATTAGATTGTTTGTCCTAAAAAATCAGAAAAAGTTGTTCAGATGAGAAAGCAGAGGAGAAATAGCAAGAGAAATAACTCTTCAAATCACAAAACATCAACCATAGGCGATTTGAAGAAAAACAAAACAAACATAAAGAGGTTTTGGTTAACTCTGCTGATATTGTTTGAACTTTGAACAAAAAAAGAAAAAAAAGTAGTTGGAGTTGTTTAGCTTGTTAGAGCCTTGCAGGCATGAAAATAAGAGGAGAATAGCAGTAGCAGCTCAGTAGCTCTGCAAGAAATGTTGCACTTTGCAGGAGTGCAGGTGAGTTCGTAGTTTATGAGAAACAAATGAACTTTATAAGTAGGACTGTCAAAATAGGAGTTAATTTCATAAAATAGATTTTAGGGCTTTAACAGGCTTGCTGACTAAGCACGAAAAAACGATAGGCCCAATACCATTATTAATTAAAAATAAAAAGCCAACATAAAACTTAAAAACAGAAAATGTGACTTGAGCGTAACAAAAACGCCTTGAGGACAAAGCCTCACAAAACAACACAAACACATGAGGTTTACAACTCAGTTCAATCAATTGACACTTAAACCTCAACACTTTTTTCACCACCTCAATCTACCATCATAAGGAAAAACATTGATTATCTTTTATCAGCAAATTCTTTCTCAGGCATCCGTTCAAAGATGACTACAGACTAACTACTAATTAACTATCCATCAAATTTATTATCAGGTTGCAATGTGACAATCAGAACTTCAGATGATATTAGTTCGGCCTTACAAAAGTATCACATTTAGAAATTATGTAAACATCAAAGACTAATGTAAAAAAAGTGCATTTGCACACTCAAGGTAAAGTGAAGCAAAAAAAATACTAAGTATTTACATTAGAATTTGGAAAGACAGAAACTTTGTGGATACTCTAGAAAAACAGTACCTATAACAATAATTGTCACAGTAGAACAAAAATTGTTTGCCAAATAAATCAAGAACATTTGATTCCTATAAGTAATGAAAGAACAAAGCATCCATCCACA